TTTTGCTTACTTTTCATCTTAATCCATTTCTGAAAAGCTGACAGAAGAATAATTCTGTATTGACTTTTTTCTTATGAGAATAAACTTTTATCTCCATATTTGTTGAAAAGTTTTGGGTTTTCTTCTTTTTCTTAAGATTGAGAGCAACAGATTGAGAACCTTGGTTTGGAACACAAGGTATTTTGGATTTTTTCAGGTAATATTTATATATTACAAATCCTCCCAGTGGCATGATATGCATTGATTATAAAAGGATTAGAGTATAGAATTTAGAAGAGATGTGATCAAGGATCTTATTTTAAATAAGAAAGTTGTATTTATATAGTTTTATGTAGAGATTATTTGAAAGAATGCGGAGTAGTTGTTGGATCATTGAGTTCCTTCTGACCTGTCTGAGAAGACCTTCTTAGGTAGGTTAGTTCTTCACCTTGTATGTGCTGAAATAGAACACTAGTATAAAATATATGGAGAACTTGTCTAACTCACGGGTTGGTGTCCCATTGATGAAACAGGTTGGGATGTAAAATAGTGAGAAGGCTGCTCATGCTGGGCAGGTAGAGGCAGAAGCAGAAAAGACAGATAAAATAAGACCTATAAAAATCATTTAACCTAAATTTGTGTGGGCTGAAGTTTGTATGGAAGGTAAAATAGAAACAAATGTGGGGTAGCTGAATGGAAATAGGGATGCTTGTGAGAAGATTACAGTTGTGTAAGGGAAAGAGGGAAGGAGTGGTGGAAGCATGGCCAGAGATAAATGGACAATTATTAGTGATACTCCAATGGAAAATATAGGATTTAGCAACCAGTTAGATGTACAGAATAAGAGCACCAAATGTCAGTGATCTCCTGTGAAAACACATTAAACAGAGCAGAGAAATTGAGACAAGGGAGAAATATTACAAAGGAAGAAAAAGTTCTGTTTCTGACATGGTATGTTTGAATTAGTGATGGAGCATCCATGTGAAGATTTTCTGGCAGTTGCTGGAAATGGGAGTTTGGTATTAGGAAGGTGTCTGGAGTGCTTTCAACACATAAATGGTGATTATCAGTGTCTAGTCAGCCTCTTTAAGAGGATTATTCTGATAGAGAAGGTAAGAGTTCAGTTCTCAGAAGAACCAGTTTTTATTCTGCAAGTTTTTAGCCATGGACTGTATACTTAATCTTGAGCGGATATGTTATACACATGTATGTTCTTGATGTGTAATTTTTAAAAAATTTTTGTTTTTACATGTGATCATTCCTAAGATGTACAAAATTTTAATATACAATTCATGACTGCAAATAAAAAGCCATTAATGTGGGTTTTCATACATGAACGGGAACTTTCCATAAGAATATGTGCCGAGAGATTGGGTGAACAGTGTGGCAGCTCAAACTAGAGGCAGATGAGATCTCCTGGGAGAGGGGGAGGTGTGGTGGCAAGGATCCCGGGACTCAGTTGTGCTCTTTCAGAGAAGAGGAATTGCTTAAGCAGCTGGTTGATACAGGGATAATCCATCAGGTCCGTGGGTAACCTGTAGGACAATACCCACAAAACTTAACACCAACAGAACAAGTTAGTGGTTATAAAGGAGTTTGACACACTTAATACATTTAAGAACTGACAATTTATTGAACTCTTACTGTTCGCACTTTTCTAAACATCTTACACGTATGATCTTACTTGTTCCTCACAATAATCCTATGAGGTAGGCACTGTTATTATTTCCATTTGGGAATTCTGTATTTCAGAGAGTTTTTCAGTCCCTGGGTACCCTGCACCTCCCGCTTTCATCCCCATCAGCCAGAACTGCTCAGGAGTCATGAGTTATAGGCATCGCCTGCTTTAGAGAATTGTAGATAACTAATTGTCCTTTCTTTGTGCTTTATTCCCAGGTCACAAGGCACTTAAAGCATTGTTGAGGTCATTGGTAGATCTTCAGGAAGAGTTACTTTTCCAATATCCAGACACTAGATACCTAGTAGATGGGACAAAGCCCAAAGCAGGAAGGTAAGGAGGGAATGGAACTATGGAGCTGTTTATTTCTTTTCATTTTGGATAGTTTCTTAACATTTATGAAAGAGAAAGCCAAAGTTCTTTTCAGGTAGATTCCAGACTTAATGTTAGTAAAATAGAAAGAGCCCCTTATATTTAACTTGTAGTTAGGATGGCACATAAATTTGGAATTAGATTTTGGATTTTTATACTTAGTTGTACCTAGTTCACTTTGTGGGCTTAGGTAAAAGACTTGGCTTCTCTTTAGATCTATTGGAATTAGCAGATAAAAGCACATTTTTATGAAATTAATGTTTATGAAACACTTTGTGTCCATACCATCGGATCACTGGTCACAACCATCTCCTTTTCAGTGAGGGAAGAAGCTGTTATTTTGAAAGATGGAAAAATTTCAGAAAACAACAGCAAAATAGCTCTTTTTCTTTTTTGAAATTATTACATTTGATGAAGGTTTTTAACCTTTTTGTTCGCACCTGCTGTATGTGGTACCTGCTTGCTTTTTTTCCTTGGGCTTGTCCTTTGTTTCATTTTTTTGGACTGAACTAATTGGAAGGACAAGAAGGAAGCTCACATTTATTGAGCACCTATTATGTGTTGGGGTCAGTAATGTATTGAGTGCGATTGGCTATACAGTTGGAAGTTGTATTACATTCTCATGGCAGTTACATATACATCCTCACAGCTTAGTGCTGATTCTTTTGCCTACCCCTTTAAGTTTTCTTCACATTCCACTTGTCTTCTGTTTGGTTTAGCTAATATTATTCATCTTTCCTGAACAGTTGGTTACAGAGAGACGTTTCCCTTATTGATTTGAGGATTAAGGTCATAGAAATGTGATTATATGTTTAATTTTTAAAGACCCTCATGTAATAGGACAGGCCTGGTTCATACACGTTTCTGATAATGCTTTTACAACTTCATTTATTTTTATGGCTTGCTTACCTTTTAAAAAATGTTTTGAAACCAGTTATTTTTACATTTATTTGAAAAGTTACATGAGTTTTGATTGATCTCATGAACATTCTTTTCAAATAAAAAAGAAGCCCTCTTATCTTTGGTGATATTTTAAATGTAGACAGAACAAGTAAGGCGTAAACATTCTCTACTTCATGTGAACCTAATTTATTTAAGTAATGTTTATTTACACTGGACTTAGTGTTCTTATTGGTTTTCTAGTGAAGAGATTTCTAGTGAGGATGATGAGCCAGTACAAGAGAAGCAGCAGCAGAGAAGGGTCCTGCCAAAGAGGAAGCTGGAGGTGGATGAGTACCCCAGCTTCATGGCAAAGCGCTTTGCTGACTTTACAGCCTACAGGAACCGCACCCTTCAGAAGTGGCATGATAAAACCAAGCTGGCTTCTGGAAAACTGGGGAAGGCAAGTGTGTGTGTGTGTGTGTGTGTGTGTGTGAGTGAGTGAGTGAGAGAGAGAGAGAGAGAGAGGTTGTATGGACCTAAAAGCATTGTAACTACAGCTTGTTTGTATGGATGTTGCTACAAAGTAATAGTAATCAGTCATTTCTGTGGCAAAATGTACTGAACTTCTGCCACTGGGATTTATATAATACCATTCAGATTTGGGATTTTAACTTTATTAGAAAGAATGTTTTATTCTTGAAATTGAGGCCTTGTAGTGTTCAATGCTGAAAATACAAAATACTTTAAAGACATGGATTTTAAAACAATAATTATTAAAGTAGCAGAAGTTAATCTCTGGATGTAGAAAAGTGATATGACCTGCTTGAGGCTAATTTTTTTTTTTTCTGAGAACAATGATAGCCATTCACAAACTCAGTCCTTAACAGAAAATCTCTTCCGAAAAGATGATTATCTATTTCTCCGCTGACACAGAAAGATAGAGAAACCAATGTAGCTGCCTTCAGCACGGATTTTCTGCATTATCTGACACTGGTTAATATTGTTGCAGGGTTTTGGTGCCTTCGAACGCTCAGTCTTGACTCAGATTGATCATATTCTAATGGACAAAGAAAGATTACTTCGAAGGACACAGACCAAGCGCTCTATCTACCGAGTTCTTGGCAAACCTGAACCAGCAGCCCAGCCTGTCCCAGAAAGCTTGCCAGGAGAACCGGTAAGAGCTCTGTGATGCAGGGTGATTATGGGGAAAAGTTTCTATGAGACTAATTAACTGAAAAACTTATAGGTATTACCTGTTGGTATAAGAAGTTAGTGAAAGAAAGGAAAACAGCACTATTTTACTGGATTGTTGAGAAACTGAGAGTATGTGGGAGGAGGAAGTTTTTAAAAATGGGGCTACTATTAACTTTTGTATGTCATCTTCTCTTAATTTTGAATTTGATACAGGATTCTGGTAATGGAAGCATTGTGAATCCAATTTTTAAAATTCAGTTTTAGAGCTATTTCTATGGAAATGTTAGTATGGAAGCAAGTGTATACTTTTTAGGTTTAATGTTTGCCATTTAGGTATTCTAGAAAAGGACCCAAAAGCAGAATATTCAGATTATTTTGTTTTAAGGAAACATTTAAATTTTTTTAATTATAGGAGAAATGTATACTTAATACTTTTAAGTTTATAAAAAATGAAAATGAAAAATTTCCCCCTACTCGAAAAATTCAGTTCCTCAGATTTAACCATGTTAATATTAATAGTTATAACAAGGCCAGGCATGGTGGCTCTAATTCTATCCCTTTGAGAGGCTGAGACGGGGATTGCTTGAGGCTGGGAGTTTGAGACCTCTGGGCAACATAGCCAGACTCCAGACTCAGGCTCTACAAAAAAAAAAAAAAAGATTTAGATGGGTGTGGTGGCATGCACCTGTAATCTCAGCTACTTGGAAGGCTGAGCAGTGAGGATCGCTTGAGCCTGGGAGTTCGAGGTTACAGAGAGCTGTGATTGCACCACTATACTTCAGCCTGGGTGACAGAATGAGACCCTGTCTCTTTTAAAAAAAAAAAAAGTTGTAATAAGCTTCAAGCATTTGGGTCTTTTTTTTTTTTTTTTTTTATTTCAGGAAATTATTGGGGGGTACAAACATTTTGATTACATGTTATGACTTTGTCACATCCCAACCATGATTTGAGACATGCTCTTCCCCCCCTACAACACTCACCATGTCCCTTAGTTGTAAGTTTACCCACCCCCAACCACCTACCCCCAAAGAATATTACTACCGTGTGAACACCTTAGTGTCGATCAGTCAGTGCCAGTTTGATGGCGAGTACATGATACCTCACTTCAGAGGATGGGCTCAAGCTCTATCCAGGAAAATATAAGAGGTACTAGATCACCGTCATTTTTTACAGTTGAGTAGTATTCCATTATATACATATACCATATTTTATTAATCCACTCATGGATTGACAGGTACTTGGGTTGTTTCCACATTGTTGCTATAGTGAATTGTGCTGCCATAAACATTCGAGTACAGATGTCTTTATTATGGAATGACTTTTCCTTTGGGTAGATGCCTAATAGTGCTACTGCTGGATGAAATGGTAGTTCTACTTGTAGCTCTTTGAGGTATCTCCAAATTCTTTATTTTTATTTTTATTTTTTTGTTGAGACAGAGTCTTGCTCTGTCACCCTGGCTACAGTGCAGTAGTGTCATCATAGCTCACTGCAACCTCAAACTCCTGGACTCAAGCCATCCTCCTGCCTCAACCCCCTAGGTAGCTGGGACTACAGGTGCATGCCGCAACAGCCAGCTGAGTTTTCCATTTTTTGTAGAGACAGGGTCTACAGGGTCTTGCTCTTGCTCAGGCTGGTTTCAACTCCTGACCTCAAGCAATTCTCTTGCCTCGGCCTCCCAGAGTGCTAGGATTATGGGGTGAGCCACCATGCCCAGCCAGAATCTCACAACTTTTAAAATGTAATGTATCCTAGACACTTTTTCCATATCGTTACATAGAGATGTATTTCATTTTTCTTAATGATATGGATGTGTACTATAATTTATTCAAACACTGGATATTTATGTTGTTTTCTAGTTTTAGAAACAGTGCTACAAGTTGTGTGTTTTTGTGAACATATGGATAGATTTCTTGATGTGTAAATGTTAACGAAAATACACTAAATCCTGATAGATGTTGCCACATTGCCTCTAAAAAGGCTGCATTAATTTCTAATCCCTCCAGCTATGATCTCCAGTACTGTGTTGCCAGTCTTAGAGGTGAAAAATGGTATCTTCTCATTTTAATTTGCATGTGTTTTATTAGAATTGGGTTAAACATTTTCATATGATTATTTGTGGAGTTTTGTTTTTGTCCACTGTCTGTTAACATTTTTGCCTATTTTTCTATTGGACTGTTTTGTTTTTTAATTTTAAGAGCTTTTTATATCTTAAGGAAAACAGTGCTTTGACTGTTACATGTATTATTTGCAGTAGCTTTGTTTCTTTGATAACCTCATTGGGGTTCCCTCTTTCCTTACTCCTTGTTAATATAGGAGATCCTTCCTCAAGCCCCTGCCAATGCTCATCTGAAGGACTTGGATGAAGAAATCTTTGATGATGATGACTTTTACCACCAGGTGTGATTTTTTTTTTAATATATATTCTTTTGTTACAAATCAGGTTTTAGTATTTTAAAACAACTGATAAAATTCTCTGAACAACAAAGGTAGCTTATTTTGAAAGGATAAGAGGCAGACAGTAGTTAGAACTCCTACATTCAAAATTAACTTACTGTGTCATTCAGGATTTGTTGCTTTTCTTCTGTTACATGTTTTCCTTTTGAAATGAAAGCAGCTACAGCTATTTTTTTTGGTTGTTGCTTGAGTATAAATTATCTGTAAAGCAATTTCAGATTCTTTGAGTCAGGTGGTTTGTTCTTCCTCAGCCGTTTTTGGTAATGGAGGACTTTTTGTAGGTTGTTAAGTTTCTTGTCCCATTACTATTAGAGTGGGACATGGAGCTGGAAGTCTGAGATCCCAGAGTTCTTGAATTGCACTTCTGTTTCTATTATTATTAAGCCTTTTGTTTTTAATGTCTTTTTGTGCCTGTTCAAATCAGTTAAGCATGTACTAAGAGTGTCTGCTACTGTTGATTATAATAATAGTATAGTGCTTTGAAGATGGAAAGAATTGGTAGAATTTGAAATATGGTCCAGTTCTCAATATGTCTTCACAAACATCCTCCAATTCTTTTCCTAACATTACTGTCTGCTGCCATGCTGCTTTTTAGTGATGCTGGAGACTGTTAATGTAGGCTAAACATTTGGGCTATTCTAAAGAACTGAAACAACTTCCTGTATTCCTGGGTCTCTTGATAAATTATATTTGTTAATGAAATATGCTTTAGGCTGTACCCTTTCTAGCTTAGTGGAGAATCGAGGATGCTACTCAGCAGTGATACACCAGTTTTACCATGAGCCATTGTTTATCAAGATAATGTTTTTCTCTGTAGAATTCTTAGTGTGTTAACTTTTGCCAAAGAATTTGCAACTGCTTGTTGAGGGATTAACAGTGATGGCTGTACTATGCATATGGATATGAAGGAAGGCACTTCTTAGGAAGATTACATGTAAAGCCAGAATAAGTGATTCTATATTGGGGTTTTGCCCTAAAAAGAGAAACTATTACTTTTTTTATTCATTCTATAATGTTTGATAAAATTATTGCCATAAATGAGTCTTAAAAGTAATGATAAAAAAAAAGTAATGATGAGAGGGTATAGGAAAGAGGATTGGTGTGGTCTCAGCTGTTGTCAAAGGTCCTGATTCTTTTTTCCTTTTCTTCTCTTATTATATCCATTTGTCAGAAGAATAGGGAACTCTGTTTTGTTCTGGAGTGTCTAAGAAAGTACCTGATGTGGGATATTAATGCTGTATAACTGTGTGAGATCATGGGAGACAATCAAAAATGTTCTAGTCCTCATTAATTGAAGTGTACATTGTTCAATGGAAAGTGTATCATAAATTAAATAGGCTTAATAAAATAAACTGAAATTACTGGGCAGAAGTTATTTCTATTGGCAATCCTTAGTCTGAAAGATTTTTTTTTTTCTTTTTTTGCCTGGAGCTCTGTTTAAAAAGAAATAGCCTTACTTGATTGGCCCTTCATCCCAATTAATAATTTTAACTTCGATAAATTCTGATTTCAGAGTTATGACTAGTCACATCTTAGCTTTTCCCCTTGCTGGTTAATTGGGGTGCTGGGGTTAATCTAAATTAAAACTTAAACTAATAGAGGTCAGCAAGGCAGCTGAAACACCTGAGTGAAACAAATGGGGCTGCCAGGCGCAACTTTATCTTGGCCGTTTCCCAAGAGGGAAGTGGCAGCAAATTGGAGTTGTTTCAGCCTTCTTCTGTAAAGGTGAATGATGGGTGACACTTGTTAATGTACAGCATCTCCGGAAGCATTCCAGATTGCTTTGCTGCTGTACCAACTGCTGCCATCCATGCACAGTCAGTAGGAACTGGACCAGTTGCCAACATCTGGCAGCACAGCAAGGAATGGGTGCAAGTCTTGAAACCCCGCAGATTCTAAATATGGTGCTTAGAACTGTGCAGGCTTTAATCACTTACCCCTCTTTGGCAGCAGGCTACGACAGCTTATCCTAGCCTCGTACATCACATCCCGACATCTGCTGAGCTGCAAGGCAGCTGCACATTCATTTTCCTTCCTTGCCTTTTCTCTTTGCTTCCTATTCCCCTTCTTCTTCCTACTCCCCGCTCCCTTCAGCTTTCCTCCCCCTCCCCAATATACTTCTTGGGAGAGATGATCTGTAAAGATTACTGCTTCATTGTGTGCAAGTAATTGTGGTGATGCCAGGCCCTTGACAGACACAAGGTAGCACCTGTTCTGCTGACCTGGTTAATTTCTTCTGTTGAGTGGGATTTGCCAGAGATTGGAGCTGAAGCCAATTCAATGATAAGGCTAAAGAAAATGGCTGTATGTTTTCTGTCACCTCCCAATTAAATTGGCTTCATAAAGTGCTTTCCTTTATTTGTCAGGGTAGTAAGCCTGAGCTAAATGTTGCATTCAGAAGTGGTACAATGTATTACAATGGGCCTGTGAGTTTTCATTTATGTTTTTCTTTTTCTTTTTAATGTGGTCGTATGGAAGAGCTGGGTGGTGAATATAATAGATTCCTCCCCCCCCACCCCTTTTAAAAACCATACTTGAAGCCAGACTTTTTGGGTCCCATGTTTTGTAAGGAAGAGATTATAGCCACATTGAATTTTAATGTTTGATTGTAAGGGTTTAAAGGCTTACTTGATTGATTCAGGTGTCTCGAGGCTGTGTAAATGCCCTAAATACTGGGAATGCTATGTGGGGTCAGAACACTACCTCCCCCACCCCCCCCCACACTAATTCTCGCTCTCATTCTTTGTTTCTTAATGTGTCTTAAGTTACTGCAACTTTGTATTATTTAATAAAGGTACATGTATGTATGTATATATGTGTGTGTACATATATACATATGTATGGGGGGCGTTGAAGACACTATCAGATATCATAAATAATGCCATCATTTTTAGAGCAGAAAACAACCTTATAAGAAATTAAGTACCTGAGAAGTTAGGTAACTTCCTGAAAGTCATATGGTAAATGGCACTACTGATACTTGATCTCAAGACTTGTCAGACAAAGCCTTGTTCTTTCCATACGTTTATTTCTTAAATATTTCATTCTTGAGCCATAAAAAGATTTCACTATACAGTTTTCAGTTTGTAAATAAATAAGCTTCATTTTCTTGGAACCAAAAGAAATATTATGTGTTAGAAAGTAATTTTTTTTCCCTTAGAAGGCAAATGATTTATTGAACTCCTGTTACTTAACAATTCTAATGAAAAAATTAGCTTTACAGTTTTGTTACTGGTTTGTTTGGAAACTAGAATTGCTGAAAGCTTGAAGTATAGCCAGTGGTGAAGGTTTTATGAGAGGAACTGTTCACCTGCTACAGAAAAGCATTGTAGGGTTTTACTTCCAAATGGAATTAGTTTGCATTTGGCCTATTTCTTGTCAAAGCTCATTCCTAAAGATAATTTTCACAAAACATGAAGGTTGTAAATGACCATGAAGGATGAGCCATTCAGAAATGTTTTCAGTATCTGTTTTTCATTTTCATGATCCTATCTGCTACTTTATAACAGTAAGTTCTTTTAAGATGTGTTGTCTCTATTACCATTTAAGGTTTTTCTTTTGTTTTGCTTTTTTAAACCATCAGATAATCTTTGACTTGGTAAACTTGAGTTCTTTTTTTTTTTTTGAGACAGAGTCTCACTTTGTTGCCCGGGCTAGAGTGAGTGCCGTGGCGTTAGCCTAGCTCACAGCAACCTCAGACTCCTGGGCTCAAGCGATCCTACTGCCTCAGCCTCCCAAGTAGCTGGGACCAGGCATGCGTCACCAGGCCCGGCTAATTTTTTTTTTTTTCTATGTATTTTTAGGTGTCCAATTAATTTCTTTCTATTTTTTTGGTAGAGATGGGGTCTCGCTCTTGCTCAGGCTGGTCTCGAACTCCTGAGCTTGAGCGATCCGCCCGCCTCGGCCTCCCAGAGTGCTAGGATTACAGGCGTGAGCCACCGCGCCCGGCCTAAACTTGAGTTCTTAGAGAACTGGGGACGGACCAACATTTGCTGGGTGCGAGTTTACGTGCCAGCTCCTGGACTAAGTTGATAGGTACTTAACATACATCTGTATTTAATCCTCACAAGATCCCCATATTGTGATGTGACTGCACTTAGCAATAGGCTATATAAAGTGACTGATTTTATTCTTTTCATATCCCAGACCTCAAACTAGTTTCTTGTCACTTCATGGAATATTTTGTTCTGAAAGGACTAATTGAGCTTGGATGTTGACGGATCGATACCTGGATTTCTAAAAGTTCATTAGGATTTTGTATGTTGCTTCTAGCTCTGTTTAGTTTTGATCTGGTTTGTTCTGTCACTTTGAATCTAGCCGGGAGTGTCTAGAGAAAGGCATAATAGATTTTGCTCTTTTGATGACCACTTTGATGGGTTAAATTTCTCCTTTCATTTGCCATCAGGACATGTCTATAACTGACCTTGCCACATGCTGGACTTTTGTATCTAAGACAGTTGATAATGCCATAAGCAAGTAATTACTAATTCACTGAACTATTAAAAGTCAATAATGTTGAGAAATAGAGAAGAGACAAGCTATCTGACAAGATGGTTTACTTTAATTAAGTTGTTGAGTGATTAATATGGACAGTTGATGTGGTGGCTTTAATCATATGCGTTTAGATCTTGGTGTGAATAAGAGATGTCTCAAGCTACCCTATGTTAATGGCAATACAATATTCTTTCTGTTGGCATATATCTTTCCAGTGGTTCAGTTGATGGTTAATAACATATTTTAAAGTTTGATTTGAACTTATATTGATGAGTTATTGGAAAATAGATGCCTTCTGTTCAGAGTAGTATTTTGTTCTTAGTTTTGCTTTAAAATTGTTGCTATTATTTGGATAGTGTTTATTATCTGGATAGTGTCTGGATATTATTTGGATAGTGCTATTATCTGGATAGTGTTTCTTAAAAGATTGATGAAACTAACTACACATA